GTTTCCATGTATGACATAACTATACTGAAGCTGCATTCTGCCAGAGGTTAAGAATTAAATTACATCATCAAAAGTGGACAGTTATGGTTATAAGTACTCAGTTGTAGTAATTACAGTGGGTTTTTTTTAAAGGAAATAATGGAATTCATGTAGTTTTTCTGGGGATCGGAAGGTGAAACCAAATGCTGGATTACCAGAAACATAGATACATTGCTAAGCTTTTGTTATGAATCATTAGTAAAGAAACGGCTCCTTTTTTGTGTGTTTATAATATTTTTCTGAATTTAGCTGCTTATTTTATCTTAAAGTATGCTTAAAGTCAGCATGAAGGGTAAAGCATTTTTTGGTTTTGTTGTAATGAGGAACTACTGAGTTTTTCTTGAGATGTTGCTTAAAATAATGTTTAGGCTGGGTATGAAAAGTTCTCAAATACACATTGTACCTAAGAATATAAAAGCTTTTTAAAACTTTGCTTGATTTCTTTAAGTTGAAATAGACTTGAATAATAGCTTGTTTTGTTGTTTTTGTTTTTTTTTCCAGTGATGAGTAACTGACTCTGCAAAATCAGTGTTTAGTAAGTCACTGGAACATTTGTTAATAAGATGGTAGAATAAATGAGTTTTTAATTGAGTTCAATAATTGTTTGATCAAATGCATGCATTTATGTTCTTTCTTGCTAGATTTGGATATTTCAATCAAATTGGATTTTTTGAAATTCATTTCCCTTAATGAAGAAGTTTTTTTGTAAGTTAAATTAGTTTTTTCACATATTACTTTCATATTTCAAAAGCAAACACAGAAGTCACAACAGAAGTATGAAATTTTGTACTACTTGTCTGCCTGAAGTTCCTCAGATTTTAACATGCATGGAAAGATCCTTAAACACTGCATTTCCCATACTCTAAAAATCAGACACTTTTTTGTAGTCTCTTTTTAATCAACAGCTCTGAGTCTTTGTAAAGGTTCATTCTTACTTTCCTTTACTACTTCTGTTCTGGGGGTGGGGACTGGTGCAGACTATAAAAATACCTAGTCTGTTTAGGAAATAGTTGTTCTGTGTGTAGAGAATAGAAGATGTTTTTATCAGGGGGTTTCTTATGCAGTGGACTTGCTATGTAGGGTCACCACATGGAAATTTTGTTGACTCTTGAGAGCATCACTTGCTGCAGAATATTTATTAATATCCCAGAGTAGGTAGAAACATTAGGATTTGGAGCGGCTTTTTTCCCCAGTACATTTTTTCCTGCTTAAACACTGAGTAACAAAGATCCTCATGTGCAGTCTCCCAAGATATGCTGTCTCTTTTCTATTTTCTCTAAGGGTGTGTACTTTGGACATCTCAAAAAAAGGCAATAACTGTCTTACACACCAGCAAGATCTAGTAGTGTTTTGTACATGCTGAAAACTTCAAATATGAAAATTTAGCAAACTAAGGGAATGTGAGGATGATGATGCAGAGAAACAGGCAGAGCGAGAGCAACAGTGGGTATAACTGGTTAGAACTTCAGCACCTGAGCTCCACTAAACACTAGTAATTTTTGGCTTTTAGGATGTTCTTGTGTTTGTGTGTCACTGTCTTCTGGAGGTTGTTTCTTTACTTCTGATTTTCAGTTGAGGAAGACTTAAGCACATGAAAATAAAATTCAGAAAAACAATTGTGAAATACCACTAGTGAAAATTTTTCATATGAAAATATACTGAGTGTAGGGAGATACTAATTGTTGTGGAAGGACAGACTGACTTCATTTGATTGCTTTTTCTGTGTTGTTGTAGAAGCAGTTAATCTTCGCTTTAGCCATTTCTGCTTAATTTTTAACCTAATCTCACTTTTCAACATGTGTGAGGCTAACCTTCAAAGCAGTGCAGCCTTAAATTGGTCAAAATTGATTTCTAAATTTGCTGGGGGTGAGGTGAATCCTACAATACTCAAATGCAAAGTGAGAAACACTCCAGGAAATCAAAGGGAAATATTCTTAGCTTTGTCTCTGTACAAATGTTAGAACAAGAAGTATTCCTGAACACAGGTGTGTTATCTATAGAGAAACACAATGCAGTGATGAATGTGTTTGGGTGACAATATGAGACAAAGAGCACAAGAAGTAGAGTTAGATGTTAAGAATGGTCTTCTGAATTTGTCAGATGTCTTGTTTTGATAATTCTTTTTGATAGTGTAGTTGGCCTGACAGGTAAGAGAAGCAGTAGCTGCAGGTACAACTGGATTCTGACAAAACTGTCTAACTTGAAAGTTTACTCTGTTCCCGAGTTGTGGTCCTGCTGGTCACTGCTGTCTTTCCAACAAAAGAGTCTGAATTATGTTCTTCTATGAGTTCTGAGCTTGGACTTTCAGGATGGTTGAGGAACTTAATATTGACAGTGATACATTTGTACAAAAGGTAGGGGATCATTTGTTAAAGCAATACTTGGCTTAATCTATGATAATTACTGATGACTGATTAAGACTGCAACTCAGGTGGGGTCCTTCAGCATTCTCCTTCATCTTGTATCTCTAACACTGAAGAAAATTTGGTTGGTAGGATAGAAAGTATACTTAGAAAGAAATTAGGTTATTATCAAATATTTTTAAAGTCAATTTTGAATTCTAATTCTGTCTTGAAATTACTATGCCTGAAGTCAATAACATGAAATTCATTACACAAATGTAGAGTAGAGCAATATGCTGTTATAGGAGGGCATAAAAGTTTCATATGAATATAAAACCAGGGGACAGGATCAAGGCTGAGGTAATGGAGAGGAGTATTTGGAGACATGGATGTTGAAACAAACATAAGAACTGAATTTTTGAGGGAGGGAAAGAAACAACCTGGGTTGTGTTGATAAGAATGTGGTTTATAAGGTATAATTGTTCTGAGTAACTTAACATTGTTGAGATTTCACTAGAAGTAAGTACTGCCTTGTCTAGGCATCCTGCTTTTAGATATTATTAAATTCTCATAGAGGCAATGAGAACAGGCAACTATTTGGAAGGAGCAGCTATACAAAAAGACTCCATGTGCTAATGTGTACAACTTGGAAAGAAAAGGCAGGGTTGAGCTGCCTTGGAACAATTTATGAAGGCTTTTTAAAAGGAACATATCCTGAGAGTAACTGGTAAAAGGAATTGGTTTAATATTTAACACAGATTGTATTGCAGTTTTAAGTCTGTGATTTCTCAGCTAGAAATTCTAAATAATGTTCAGACAACATCAGTAAAGTTGCAAGTTTCAGGGTAATACAGATTCCTCCCTTTTTTCCTTGGTATTTTGTATAGTTATATTTATTTTTTTAATCCAAAGTATGTTATTATTTGATTATTCTTTTACTCATGATCCAAATTAACGAAACATCAGAGACTGCTGTTTTTCTTGGGAGATAGAGAATATAGCAATAGTCAGCATGTGTGTGGTTAAAATATTGATTTCAAATCAGCTTTGCAATATTATTTTAGCTTTGTCAGTGGAATGGCACAGATATCTAAAGTTTTAGTGTGCAGAAGTATAGTTGTAGAGAAAAGCAAGTAAAATACTGTTCATGTAAAACAATGGTGCAGTTTTGGTATTAAACACAAAATGTGTGACATGTAAGATTTTAATAATATTTCACAGCTGAACTTTATTATTACTTTTAGCTAGTTCATTGCTTTATGAAGGCTTAGCAAATGTTTCTTTAATTTCTTATGATTCAGTTTCTCTATGTGTTCACAAATTCCTTTCATCTTAACTACACACCCCATCACCTCCCCTGATTCAGACTTCATAATATGTCTTTGTTTTCTGAGCTTGCAATACTAAATAACTTTGGGACTGTATATTCCCAGAGTAGTTTAGCTGCTGTGAAATACTGTTAATTTTCTTAAAGAACTTTAATTTGCTTGTGTTCATAATTTATGCTTACTTCTAAATCATTTCTAGTCTTTTCAGTTTCATAAGGATTTAAAATACATTGAGTTTTAGTACTCAAGCCCAGTTTTAATTAGCTGAGGAAATGAAAGCCAGCAACTTCTTCACAATTCCATTGAATAACTTTCTTTACTGGGATCTGAAATATCCAGAGCAGAATGTTACAGCAGAGTTTCTGTTCTTTGAATTTCTTATTTGAATTGAATGTTCAATCTGAAATTTCTTAGTTTATCTCTCATTTGAGCTGGTGCGTCATCTTTGCACTGCAGTTGTCACAGAGTACTGCTCTGTGTTCCCAATGCTACCATCACTTAGTGCTTTTTTTTATTTATGTCATAATTTTCAGAATGTGTGGTTGAAAATAATGAAAGGGAAAAAGCTCTTGAAAATAACTAGGAAATAATGTTACGTATGGCTAAATGGTGGTATATTACTGTGTTGAGTGTAGGCGGGGGGCTGTCTGCTGAAGTCAGCCAATTAAACATGAAATGCTTGCTTTATTTGTATGTGCAACTAAATAAAGGATGCAGCTTACAAAAAGTGATGTGCTTTTTGGTGTGTCTGTATAGACACATGCATTTTTGTGTATACAGATATTTTATATATGTATGTGTGTGTAAGTATAACAATACCATATTTTTAAGAAATGTTGCCCATGAATCCTAAAATAAACATGTAGGAAGCCTCATTTGTTTTTTGTTTTTTTTTCTGAAGGAAATGCTATTTCTCCTTGCCATGGTGCACCTTGTTGACTTACGGATGAGCATGTCTGGATGCGTTAGTGGTGAGGGAGAGCAGTTTGGATTTTCTGTAAGAGCTTGTACAGCTTAATGAGGAGGAAATTAGGAACTGCTTCTGATGTAGACTGATGTTATGTCTAGAAGACCTAGCTCCACCTGAGACTTGTATCCCCAGAGTTGGGGACACGTGGATACTTAGTGTATGAAAACAGTACCTAACCCATTTTTCAACCTCAGGCATTTAGTGTGGTGTCCTAAGCCATTAAATACTTGATATTTTTAGACACAGAAATACATCTTGTTAAATTTTAAACTAATTTTATTTACTTGATTTTTTAGAAATTATGTATTATTTTTCTTTCAGTTTAACTTTGTTGGAAGAATCCTTGGGCCCAGAGGACTAACAGCTAAACAGCTTGAGGCAGAAACAGGATGCAAGATAATGGTCCGAGGGAAGGGCTCAATGAGGGACAAAAAGAAGGTAAGGTCTTGAAGGGCAGTGTAGTTTCAGATGCATAATTTTGTTTTCTAATGGAGGATAAGATCATGTCTCTCATTCTCGTGGTCTTACTATTATGCTTTTTTGTTATCTAGTGTCTTACACAGACTTAGTAAATAACACAGGCTGTCTTAAAATGTACATGCTCCATAATTCTGCAGTTGAGAGTCTAACTAGCAATTATAAAGCATTAAGTAATAAATAACTTAGAATTGTGTCACATTTCGTAAGGTAGAGGCAAAAATTGAAGTTAAATGTATTTTTCTAGGAAACAACTGTTAACCTCAGAGCTCTTACTAATAACTTTCCTGTATTGAATTACCAAAGTAATGATTTGTGCATGGAGTGTGGATTGGGAAAAAAAAGTTAAATGTATTTCTGGCAGTCACTTCTGTCTGAGTGAACCAAAAAGCACTGTGTTTCTGGTTTTGTGTCAGGTAGAGTTGCAAAGTAATTAGGGCTGTTCTTGCCTTGTCCTGGAATATGCATGCTCTGTCCATATGAATGGGCAAACTATAGAACCCATATAGAGCCTTCCTGAATGTTGGGTTGTTCTCGTGGTAACTGCTTTTCTAGGTTTATTTTCTAGCTATTTCCCTCTACCTCTGGCTACTGCTGCTGAAGTTACACCAGCATCTCCACTGTAGTTCTGAATATTTCATCTTTGTTCCCAGAAATACAGTTTCTTTTGATTCTTTTTTAGGAGAAACCCCCCATCTTTTCCTTACATGATCAGCCACATAATACATTCTATTGATACATATGTAGTACATAACAATTACAGCAGAAAGTTAATGTCTGCCCAGTTAAACATATTTAAACATCTTTCCCAAAGCTTATAAATGTGTTACCTGCAAATTTCATTTAATGTCTCTTGTTTTCATAATCTGCTGGAACACTGTCACTGTCCTTTGTCTTATTCTACCATTGTTGTAGGTTTTGGAGTTTGTGAAATATTGGTTAGAGAATCACAGGGTGGTGGAGGTTCACTCTTCAGGCAGAGTCACCATGTCCAAGTTTCCCAGGACTATGTCCAGGTGGCTGCTAGGGTAGTGTCTTCCTACCACTGTGCTTCAAAACCTGACCTGTCCTGTGGGAAGTCATCTCTCTAGACAGCTTTGGCAGGTTTAATTTCTGGGGAAGTATTTTTGAACTAATTTCCCATATTCCCCATATATTTTTTCAAAAAATTTAATTTTTGACAATTTGCAGAAAATTAGGCAGTGTGAGTTATTGGAGTTTTGTATTTAAGAAAAAGATTAGAAGAACTGAGGCCATCTGAGTGAGTCAGCTATTTTTTAAGTTTAGTAAGAAAACAAAACTACCTTCAGCAAGGACAAGTATAGCAGATCAGATAAAAAACCTCATGCACATTAAAAACTAGAAATTCATCGAGTCTTGAATGCTTATTACAACTTTGAAGTTGGGTTCTTTCATAATTTTTAAACATAAAGTACTTGACCATTAATAATTTAATGAGATAATACTGCGGTTAGTGTGAAAGATATTTGAATGGTATTGTATTATAAGGTATTTGTATACCAAACAGTATGATATAGGCTGTAAAACCAGTGTGGAGTGCCAAATAATTTTTTTCAGAAAACTGATTTTCATGCCATCCATTCTTAATATTTTCAGCTCATTTGCTTTCCTGAGGTGACTTGTATTGGTCATTAGTTTACATTTTTCAGGGTAGACTTTTTGGTGCTATACCACTGTTGATGAAGTAGGAAGAATTTCATAATCCTTGGTTATGATGCACACCAATAAGATGTTTCTAGTAAAAATAAAGATTTGGAAGTTGATTTTAGTCTTTCAGTGCATTTAATGATAACCACCTTTCTTAATTTTCTTAAATGGTTTCTCTCTTTCCGGGTTGTACTTCAAAATGCTAATGAACATCAAAGTATAAAATGTAGAAGTAATACTATTTTTTCATGGCAGGTTAGGATAGACTAATTCTTTTTTAAAACCCTTTCCTTTCTCTAGAGTCAGTGTTGTTTAGAAAAGTCACTATTTGAGGTTTTTTTCATTGAATAGTTTGAAATTTGGAAGAGATAAGAGATGCAGGTTAATAGGTTAATATTTTAGGTGTATTTTGTAAGTATAATTTATACCTGGAAAACCAATTTCCCAGTGCTAATTATAAAAGAAAGTTTATTGGTTGTGGGAAGGAATAATTACTAAAGCAGTGTCAATCTTACGTGACAGCTCCATGGTACTAAATAAATAAATTGCCCATGTACTTTTGCAGCCTTGCTAGTGGTTGCAGAATCCAAGAGAAAATACAAAGACTGACATGCTAGAAAAGAAACCATCCAGATATGCTCTGCAGAGAATTTTGCTTTGCTCTGTGATCCTATGAAAGAAGTAATGAATCCTTGTCACGTGGCCAAAACAGTTGAACTGGCATCGCATCTTGAAACTTGCTGACAGATTCCCCCCAGAAAGCAGGGGAAATCCTCAACTCGTTTGTATTTGAGGCTCAGCTGGTAATCAGAATATCTCTGTAGGCAGCTTTCAACAAATTTAAAATCAAATCCTTAATTACTGAGAATACTGTGATTAGAGCCTAGGGGTACTTGAAGGAGATTATTAGGAAGGGGGAAAGGGTTGCAGGCATTCATCAAAAGCTAATGAATGTGTAACTTTATTAAGACCAAGGCATTGTTTTGCTCAGTCTGAGTGCACCTTTCATTAGGTGGAGAAGAAAACTAGTAACTTGCACACCACTTAAAGAATGCGTATAGTGAAGATTGTGCAATGATGGATAAGCAAAACAATATTTTTGTATCTCCCTTTTCTTACACAAATTCTGTAAAATAGGCATTGACATGCCCAAGGGGAGTCAGCGCTGTGCTATTTAACACACTGCCAGTGTCTCAATTTGGAGAGGGGTATGAAGCCCAGAAGCATCAGGCTGCTGACTTGTGGCAGCTTTGGCCGTTGTTTTTTTTCCATTTCCGTTGGATTTTTTCCATTTCTTTCTACTTTTAGACAAGAATCTCCCCTACAACAGTGTGTGATGAGAGACCATAATTCATTTTTACTTCACAAGGAAGCCATCTCATGATATACAGAATTTTTTTCTTACAATTGCTAGTTTCAAATAAGAGGGCAAACAGCTATACAGTTCTAAATTTTAAGAACTCTGTGTCTTCGTCCTCTGTAGCAGCTTTAAGTCTGCAGCACTTCACACTGTATTAGATGATTTGAACTGATTTATGGTTTTTGACCTACTTGTTCCAGCTTACTTGTTCCTGCAATCCTGTTCACCTTGCAAGCAGAAACATGAGGTTTCATGAAAGACATGCTCTCATTTAGTACTGGTCTTGACCTTTGACTTGTGTAGAGTTGTTATAGTAAATAGATAATTCCATTTCTATAAACTCTCAATTTTTCTGTTTTGACAGTATGGCTAAAAAGGAATTAGAAAAACCCTGTCCTTGGTTACCTGCATGAAGTTTGAGGAAAATATTGAAGGGGGAAAATTTATCTGTCTTGTGGTCAGGATATTTTATTAAATTTATGTGCTGTATAGTCTTAATATTTGTAATTTTTTTACCTTTTAGGCTTTGAAATATCATCTGATAAACTTCGTTTTCCAGTGGAAAGGCTTAAACATTCTGTTTAGCTAATAAAGTGATGTTTGTGACATCGGATAATACATTATTCTGTCTTGTTGAGTAAGCCCTATTATTGCCACCTTAATTATAAGATGCTTAGCTTTTATATTCTGTGTTAAGTACTACGTGTGAACAAATCACAGAGTTCTGGTGCTGATGTGCATGTTGAAATGGAAGAAACTGAGCATGTGCAAGGAAATGAAGCTGTTGTGTGTTTCAAAATGGAAGGCTGACCAGGCATCATGGTTCTTGTGTTCTGGGAATAAATTTCTAGGCTGAGGCCTGTTGCCCCTAGCTTGTGCCTCTAACGAAAGCATGCCAGGGCTGTTTGAAAATCACAAGTGTCTGTGTTAAATAGTGGGTTGGAATGGCAATTTTGAAAGATCTTGTTGCTAGTTGCAAAGTGGACTTCTGACTCTTTGGCAGTACCTTTAGGAATATTAGGGGGAAAATACTTTAAATGGCTGGGGACAGGGACATGTGAAAGTGAAAGCAATTTCATGTTCATAATACATGACTAGAATGACTGTCCTTTTATTTAAAAAAAAATCCCTTTTTGACAGCGCTGGTGAAGTTTCTGGAGGTAGGTCACATGCTTGCTTTTACATTTATAACTGTAACTAACAGAATCCCATATCAACATCCATCTTAAGAATGCTGTTTATTAAAATTCTGCTAGTTACTGGAAACTGACTGTGGAGCAGTAGCTGTGCATGTTTGAGATGCTGTGTTCTGTTCTGTTAATTTCTGTTGCAAATCAAAGCTGCAAGTGTTTGACTGTTGCATTCATTTGAATTGCCATCGACTTCCATGATTATCGATTAAAAGCCATTGTAAGAGCAGCTCCTTAGCTGAGACTGAGACATGGCTTATACAGCATGTGTGCTGAATCTACTGCATTCAGGTAATAAACTTGGAATAGAAAATTACTGAAGGCATTCAGAGTGAAGTGTTTAAAAATACTACCCTGGGAACTTCACAACTTCATAAACTTCAAGATCCTCTACAGTGGCATTTCCTCTGAATACACTTTTTCATAAGCATGTATGTCTTGATTAAGTTTGATTTCTCAAACTGGTCAGGCTTGGGAGACTTTTTTAATGCTTCATTTTTGGCTACTACAATAATTGACCTTTCATTTTTGAACCAACTGTAAGCAAAAAGGTATTTATGTAAACTTTATATTCACTGTGTCACAACTGCTGTTTTAATAAAGATGTTTAGGAATATACTTAGTGGTTGCTACTGCTTTGCCTTCCTAGAGGTTCATTGTAAAATATAAGGTGTGCTGAAAATATTTTTGGTTGCTTTTAAGGTAAATTTTTTTCAGTAGTGACTACCTAAGAAAATGGGCTG